ATTAGGGGAGGAATATTCTTTTTTTTATTTATCAACCTTTATTTTTAATAAAAGAGCTCAGCTTTAGCTCTTGACTCCTATACATATATATATATATATGGTGTAAAAGAGTCTTTAGGATATATTATGTGGATGATCTTCAAATTTGCCTTTTATAGAATTTATTATCTCTATGAATTTGACCATTACCAACCCTTCGGGGTGAATTTTTCGTTTAGCCATAGTTCAACCTATTAATCCATCTGTTCTATTTATTTTGTTTTTCACTCTCCTATTATTTATGCAGCTGAGACTTTGCGATCCGTTCGGTCACTCCGGTTTCAGTCAAGAGACTCCTCAACTCATACTTTCTCTCCTAAGCGACATGTTGCAACTTGACTGGTTACCTGGAGCCAGTGGCATAGCTGTCTCTTGTCCACAGACGGGATGCCGCAAACCTGCCAGCCGTTCATTGTCCACACATTCTACTGGACGCGACGCATCGAATCTGCCATCTAAACCAAGTGAGCCGGTTTCCAGTCCGCTTGGATCAAATGAATTGGCGATAACCGTCGACACTGTCGTCAACACTCCTAGCAACGGCTCGGCGCGGAAACTAACTACCTCGGATAATATAACCATGGGTTGTGTGTTGATCGACAAAACGGGCCATTCCCAGCTCACCCACTGCCGTGGCCTGTGTACAGCTCCTACATCTGCACCTTTACCTTCTCGTCCTCTAATCACATCTCATCCTACCACGTCGACATTGGCGGGCGCGGTTAACTCACATCCCACTTTCCCTACCACTGCAAACGCATTCCTCACGCCTCAATCTAACCCTCTTTCATCGCCTCATCCAGCACCAACCGAAGTGGCCGATCATTCTATGTCATTTCAGGCGGTTATACCACCAATTCTTCCCGGTGGAGATTGCTGTTATTGCCATGATGTTGGGGCATGGTGGCAAGCGGCGGTTTTGCTCTGCCAACATTTGGCCCCAGCCAGCCCACCCCCATGGCCTGAAGTAGAACTGAATGCAGAAAAAATTGTCAAAATTACCAAGTTTAAAGGTGCGTTAGAACTATCTAATTTTGTTTGATTTGCTCAGTTTCATTCTGACGAGTAATCCATATGCTGGATACAAAGTCAGGCTGTAGCCTGTGCCAATGCTTCAAGAGGCTTATTTGAAAATCTAGTTGAATCTGTGCTTCGCATCTGGATTTATTGCTTTTGCTCATTTGATAAAAAGAACAGAGTGACTTTGTAAATTAATTAAGATGGTCTTTTTTATTATTAGACCATCGGTTTTGTCGTCTTAATCTGGAGCAGTTTTCATGACTAGTCTGGCTCTTGTACAACAACCGTAACAAAATAGGACCACTCGTGTGGCATTAAATGGTCACTTAATTGAATAGATTGGAATATCTTTAGAAGATCGTGTTTTGCACATAATTGTTTGGGCACATCAAATACCAATTTAATTGGGTAGATCGCAGAGCAATACTAGAAAGGGCATTATGTAGGTTGAATGTAGTCTACAATTTGATTTTCCTGTGTCGAAGTAAAAATCATATAATCACAACATTCCTTCTATCAAAAAAAATTGTTGCGGCCTTTTGGGTTACAAAAAACAGCATGACTTTATGGTAACTCAAACCCTAATGCGAAATTATACCATTTTTGTAAGTTATTACGATGCAGTCGTTACCAAGAAGACTTTAAGCGAAAGTTTAATTTTCTCATTGGATTTCATTTTGCCTATGCTCCCCAATCATTGATTGTCTTGATTGTTTTTTTATCAGAAGTTCGAACCTGGCGTTGTGTTACATGCACCGACATCGCCATCGGCACAGCTCCTCAGGCAGCGTCATGCTGCCAGCCGAGCAGTCTTGTCGACTTTACCTCGAAGAAAGCGGAACCTTCGAATGACGCTTTTGAGGTCACATATTTTCCAACTCTGGAGGAATTAATGTGTCTGCCTTCTATCATTCGTGTCATCTATCAACTAGTCAGGTGCCTTTACGTTCCCAAGGCAGGTTAGTGGCAAGCTACTGTTTTATTTAATAATTTTAGGCTTCACTTTAGCAATATGTTTATGAGAACCTAGCTCTTAGCCACCATAAGTTTCCACGTTTAGTTCGTATAAACTTTTCCCAATATGTAGTTCGGTTTTTTATTAATAAATCCCTTAAACATGGCTTTCAGGCAGTTGAATTTATCAGCATAAACAGATTTGATTTTATGAATAGCACAAATACAATTTTAGAATCCCTCAGTCGTGTTGAATCAAAATTATTTCTTATATTGACTTTAATTTATTTTTAAATTTAAACATTTCAATTGTATCAGGGTTTCTTGGTTTGCATTTAGACAGTGTACTATTTTCGGGTTTCGATAGATGTTTAATTTATGATTAAAACACACACACTCTGCTAATGATTATATGCACAAGTTAGGCTTTGCCAGGGTATAATTTAATTAAATCACTGACGATGTTAAGATAAAATTGATGAATCTGGCGAAAGATGTATGGGTTTAACTTTTAGATTTTGCTCAAGTTGCCAAGACCATTTCTCAATTTCTTTTACCTAATGGGTATCTTATACAAAATGATGATAGAGTCAATTCATCTACACATTCTTTTGTGGCGAAACAAACTCTTGAAAAGTGCCCATTCAATTGACATTGCCCGGAGCATTGATTACGAAAACTTCGGTTTTTACACAACTTTTATAATTTACCCACTACTGAGCTATATAGAATATTCCGTGCTGACTAAAATTAATGAAAACCTGGCATTGCAAATGAAAATATTGTTTGCATCCATTAGCCTAGGAGGTAACTTCAATGTATGCTCTTCTAAATTCCTTATTAGTTTCCTATAAAGAGGCCATTGTCCTTGCTTCCTAATGGCAGATTATTTTACGTTAAACGAATATGATCACTTTCTTGACGTACTTGATGATCAGCCTCAGCGCTTCAATTATGAGTCCTTTATTATCTTAAACGAATTAAAGTGACTACCTCCCATATACTTAAATGCTTCTCTAAATGTTGTTTCTACTGCCTCAAACTGACATAGTTGCTTTAGTCTCACTGTTAGCTTTCGTACTAAATCAGAGAATATGAAAAATAGCACAATTTCAAAATTCAAACGGAGTCTTAATATTTATGAACAGTAAACTTTATTATTTTTCCTTGTGACTAATATTTTATTGTTTTATTTTAAATTGGCTTAAATCCAGCCTCCTCTGTCTCACCAGCCGCTAATTCCCTCATGAAATCGACTGCACAGAGAATGCACTCGACAACCTCTTCTTCGACTCATTCGAGGTCCGGCCGACCTTCCTTACCTCAGTCATCCCTCGGCTCCTGTTCAACCGCAAAAAAGGCCGCTGCTAGCCTTTCCGCCTCGTCCATTCTGACCGAACTGGACACTGGCTGTCCGCCAGTGATAGGGCGTTTATTCTCTGGCCAGGTATTGCTCTTATTCAGCCCTCCTAGAGATCCAGTCCGTCTGCAGGCAGTTATCGAATGCCTATCCTTTCTCTTTCGTGTTGGTGATGCTCTCACGCTCGTCTTTAAGGCAGCTGAGCGTGCCGTGGTCCGGGAAGCAGCCGCTGCGGCCGCAGCAGCTAGTGCAAGTAGCTCAACAGCAGGCGGCTTCCATACCCTTGGTTCATCAAGTAGGCTCTTCCCTAATCTAAAGCCTTGTTTAGAAAATATAGTGCATGACATTATAGATCTTTCAACATTTTCCCCTCAAGCAATAGTAACATTTAAAAAAATATTTATACATATATTCAAGCATGCATTAATTTATATAAAAAATACATTT